ACCGTTGATGGTTTTTTTGCTCTTGCTGTGCATAAAACTCTTAACAGGCTTGCGAAAGTCTTGGGTTTGGAGCTGGGAGCAGAGGCGTGGGCAACGTTTATGAATGTGGATGTTGACAATCAGACTTTGTGTCATTCAAAGAACCAGCCAGATCGGCACTTTCTGATTCCTCCTAGATTTTAAAATGTATAACCCAGAGTGAAATGCTTAGATTATCCCTCGGCGGCGTCAGTTTTTCATGAGAGAATGTGCTGGCTCTTAAAAGAAACTTGTGGCGCTCGTGGATGCAATCCAAACAGATTGCAAAACTTCCCACTGCCTTTCAACTGCCAAGTTATGCAAGCTCAGCTCTCAATTTTTGGTGTCAGCCCGCTGGAGATGGAAAAACCTGCTTGAAAAGCTTCAGATAGGACCTTAGATCTCACCCCTCCTGCTTAGAGGATGCATTTTTTTAATCTGTGGTTGTTTTTTTAAACCCTTGGGGTATAGCTGAGGGTATGAAAACGTGTCTCTCTAAATCCCCAGAAGGAAAGTTGTTGGCCTTCTGCAAAGTCTTGGAGATAGGAGACGAGGTGGATTTTGGAGTAATAAGAATACACTGAGAGGAAGCGTAACGTACCTGTGGAAGCTGTGTGGCTGATTGTCAAGGATAATTGCAAAGTCAGGTTTTACTGCATAAGGAAGTGGATGACAGCCAGAGGGGTGTAGTAGTGAAGATGCTGGATTAGGAACGGGGAGACCCAGGTTTTAGTTGTCCTTTGGGTCTGGAAGCTGTGGGCCCATCTCTCTCAGCCCTAGGCTGAAAGACAAAAAAACATTTACCTACCACTCACACTGGACCATCATGGTGGAGTATGGTCCATAACCATCAGTGAAGAAGCCTTCATCTCGCAGTGGATTGATTCAAGATGAAGAGGATGATGATGGGCAGAGAGGAGGCGTAGCCAGGGAAGTTGAAAAACATCTGTCTACCACTCACACTGGACCACCATGATAGATGGTGATCCATAACTGTCAATGAAGAAGCCTTCCTCTCGCAGTGGATCGATCCAGGATGATGATTGATGATCACGATGATCATGATCATGATGATGGAGGTAGGCAGAGATGAGGCACTTGGCCATCACGGTCCCAACTGAGGAATTAAGGTGTGGAAGGAAGAGCCCCAGGTTTAACTAAGTTGCTCACTAGCTAAACCTGGGCCTTTCCTTCACCCAACCTACCTCGTGGAGCTGTTGTTAGGTACCTGGAGCTTCCAGAACGGCGTTTGAAAGGACATAATGCATTAGGAGCACATAGCTGTGGGTCTCTCTAGAACCAGAAGGGCGTTCTCCACACATAAGAAAAACTCAAGAAGTAAATCAGAATCTCCAACTCCCAAGAAGTAAATATATGTAATTTTCCCAACGCCTATTTGAAACATCAGGAACCCAGGCCCCTTGATGCAAAGTTGCTTTCATGTCCCTCCCCCCCCCGTTTCCTGTCTGTAATCTCCTTCACTCCTCTTCACCTTCTCCCCTTTGACTTAATGCTCTTTAAAGCCCTTTTCCCTGACTACAAGCTAACCGCCAGTGATAAAAACGCTGGCTCTGGGATTTGGGGAGCAAACAGAAATCTGTCAATTGGGCAGATTCCTCAGGATTGACCTCCCTAAGCTTAGATCAAACCTCCCCAGGGTTGATTTGCCAGGGGAAGGCCCACACGGTCTTAGGATGACCCCCAAGGTTGGATGACCATCTTGGGGACCCACTAAAAACGGTCCCCCAAAAGGTGGAAGGGGGAGCTTGTCAGATCTTGGCCAGAAGAGAGCAGGGGATTGAGATAATCCAGAAGCGATGTCCACCTCCAATCACGAAGTCACACCCTCCCATTTGGCTGAATTGACTTTTCATCTCATGCCTCACGCAGAGCCTCCTGGGCTTTGCTGATACGAAGATGGGGATTGTTCTTGATCTCTGCTCAGTGACCTCTGACTCAGGCATTGCATCCGTAATCTCGGTTTCAAGATGGTTGGGAATGGGCCCCTCTGGCTTAATTCAGGGGCCACTGACTCTCTTCCGCCTCTTTCAGAGCTGTTTTTTCCTTCTGGCAGTCTCTTGGGTGCCTGCTCTGGCTTTTTTTAACGGGGCGGCCCGACGTTTGCACTTCTTCTCCTGCAACACCCAACCGAGCTATTCTCATGGTTCGGTGTAAAGAGGTTAAATTTGCCTTCCCCGCTCAAACTGCAAAGGGGTCACGATAGCCAAAAATATATATAAATCCCATTGGCCCCAAAGGCATTTTTCTCTCTTGCTCTAAGCGACGGATAAATAGGGTGTAGAGGTGGGGCAGGGGGGATTTAATGACAACTTTTCCATTTATTTCCTTCCTCCTGCTGAAAACACAGGGAGCGAGAAAGCTCCCATCGGTTTAACCCGGTTAAGTCCACGTGTTGTGGGAACTCCATCCGTGGCCCTGGGAAGCCGCGTCACCCTCGCATAGGTGGATCTCTGGTGGGACATAATGCACTGTGTCACTCCTGGCGCTGCATTCGATGAGCCTGGATGGAGGGCAAAACTGTGTGGGATTCACGCACAGTCGGCTGATTTCTTCCTCGATGACAAGCGCGTTGACGCAGCTGCAGTCGAGCGAATCCAAGTGGCTTGCAACTGTTATATGGATTTTTTCCTTTTGGGTAGATAAGAAAGACCAGATTAGGGACAGACCATTGTGGAAAAAATCCATCTGGGGGTCACCAAGATTCAGCTGCGACAGGATGGGCCATCATCCATCCACCGATGTATGTTTATACACACACACCTAGGCAACATTTCCAGTTAAATAGCCATAATAACACTGAAAGGAAATTAAGCAAAGCTTGTTTCCTTCCCAGGCCTTTTTTATGAACGATGGTCCCAAACCAACCAACCGACAGGACGTGTTAATATTAACATATTCACCCTGGATGAATAACAGGGATTTTTCAGAAAGGTTACAGCGGGATTCACGCTCTCCTGAAAGCCACACGTGGGTGGTATGTTGGGTGGTAGAAACCCAGACATGGTGGCTTATAAACCACCATTGCTGGCAAAGTGGGAGTTTACCTTATTTCGACACCCAAGAAGCGTCCGTCTTTCTGAAAAGCTTAGCACGATTGTGCTGATTCTGTATTTATTTCTCAGCCTCAAGATGGGGAGAAGAAGGAAGGAGGATTCAGATCGCAGAGCGAAAGCGGGATCTTCTTTTTCGGGCAACTTTCCCTCCTAACTGACCTTGTTTAAAGTTGCAATGGGAGAAGAGTGCAAAGTTGAGCTAGATAAATCCCCCCGTGGCCTCTTTTCCTTTCTTAAAACAAATCAGTTGCGCTCCCCAGCGACCACATTTGCAACTGTAGGACAGCTTCCAAGGGGCTTCAGAAATATTTGGGTTCTTTTCACGTCACCTGCCTACGAAGCAAAAGCAGGGCCCGGTGTAATCCATGCCAAAACTAGGTTTTCCATTAACCTGGTTAAACACGTGGGTTCTACCTAGCCTTGATGAATAGGAAGACACTGGAAGGTTTGATTGTTGCTTGATCTCCTCCCCCTCCCTTTTCTTTTTTTCTATCTCAGGAGTTTCTCTGTGACCCAAAGTTTAGTGATGAAGAGGACCTGGAAGAAAAGCTTGCTGTTTTTAAAGGTACTAGTCCACATTGAGTAAACCAGCTGTAGAAAAGCATTTTCCTTTGGGGTTAGGGCCAGAAGCATTGCAGTGGTCCAGAGGATGGAGAAAGGAACAACACAACATGACAACCCCCAACATTATTCCTTTGGATGGACTCACACATCTTAAAACATGCTGGCTGGAGAATTCTGGGAGTCGAAGTCCACATATCTTAAAGCATGCTGGCTGGGGAATTCTGGGAGTTGAATGCCCACATCTTAAAATTGCTGAGGTTGAGGAACACTTTAGTACCTGGAGAATGACACCCAATCAAAGCCAAAGTAGATGGGAACGGCACTGTCTCTGTAGTCCCCCAGTGTGGATAGAGACAAGATTTTCATCTCACTTTTTGAGGAGAGTAGTGAGAATTGCATGTCTTTCTACCAGTCTTCAGAAGGGGGGCAAAATTACTTCCATTCACCCCCCCTTTTCTTCTTCCCCTCTGAGGACATGTTAAAGTCCTATGGTGGTCTCCTCCAACTTGAAGTTCTCCAGATGTATGGGGCCACCACCTCCCTCCCCCCAATTCCAGCACATCTGGAAGGGATTTTCCATCCCACCAGCGGCCGAACCTTGGGGTCAAATCCGGTCCAAGGAACTGGCGATGGTGGCTAGTTTTTCAGCTGGGAGCGTGGTTGTCCGTCAAGAACGTGTCTTTGGCTGCGAGCGTAGGGTGTGGGCGAGGGTGGGGGATGTTGTTACTGCGTTCTCGTATGCTGCCTGGACACCGCAGTTGCAGCGAAACAGATGTGATTGGAACATCTGGTTCTGAAACACGTCTGGCGTTGTCCGTTTGCCACTCGAGATCTTGTAGGCTACGCAAATCTGTTCGGCGGGTTCGCGAAAGCCGCTGGATCATCCAGTCACCAAACAGGCCTGGTTTTGCAAAACATGCTCAGCCAGGAAGAGCAAACAAGGTTTATATTAATCAGATGCTGGATTTGGCGCGCTACCCTAAATTCTACCTTCTGCAGGAACCCAGAATCCCCCCCTCCCCACACCTATGGACTGAAATGCCGGGTTTTGAAAAGATGCTGAATGCTGAACATAACAATGCAGTTCTATACGACGGCTCGAAAGAAAAAGAAAATTCAACGGGGTGCAAAACATCTTCCAACGCTGCCCGGAGAGGGCTAAGGGGCAAGGCTGCCTTTGTGGTGAACACATGTGCACGGCATACACGCATTCCTCTTTCCCCAGTCTTGCACACTTGTGGCACACAGATCCGGTGTTTTCTGACAAACCAAAGATTTTCTCCTTTGGATCTGCCCAACAATCAAGTCTTTGTTTCCCCGTCTTTTCTCCCACCGGACAGGAAGGGCACAGAAGTGCGCACACACACGCACACGCACACCCCCTGCAAAATTGTGTCTGTTAGTGCGGGACTGTACACTCAAAGAGCCTCTTGCCCCATTGAGTGGGGAAGAAAAGAGGAGATTTGCACCCTTGTCTCGTGTCAGCCGAAGCCCAGCTTTTGTGAAAATCGAAAAGGCCTGTTTTGCTCCTGGCTGGGATTTGCAAGATCGCTTTTCCAGGATGTGAATCTATATTATATGGGCAACAGCGCCCAGATCTGAGTGTGAAAGGAGTGTGCAAAAACTCTTTCTACGAACGGTCCCGCTTCAAGGGCTGGGAGAGGTACCCATGATCAGATATTTCTCCGAGAAGAAAAGGAGATTGTGATGAAGGAAGGGGTCAGACTCAGACCAGAAGACCCAGGTTCGACTGATTTGGGGACAGTGATTCTTTCTCCTCCAACCTACCTCGCAGGGTTGGTGTTCTGGGGTAAAACAAAGCCAGCTCTTTATCTAGGTTGACTTGAGCTCGAGAGAACTCAATATCAATATCCTAACAGCAGAACGACAATAATGGTAACAGCTCCCTGCACCGAGAAAGATAGAGTGTAAGAGTCCTAGTTGAGCAGTTTCCCTGAGGGGCTAGCTTTCTAAATGCAAGGGGAAGGCATGACAGTGTCCCGCCGCTCCAATCAGACCGCAGAAACATGGACACAATATTTGCCAGCAGATCCCATCCAGATGTCACCCATCCAGAGGTTCCCGTCCTTGTGGATCTCAACAACTTGCAGCAAGTCCGGTTGTTGGTTGTTCGGCTTTATCTTGTTGACTCCACCCTGGCTGTTGAACCACAAAGTGGTCAGAAGCCTGTAGGTTTATTCTAGGGTGTGGTGGGAACCCAGCTGCGGAGGCGGGAGGATCTCCTCCAAGGTTGCAACCTTCTGCGTGCGAAGCGGATCGGAGAAGCGAGGGCGGTTTTATTCTCTCGCAGTATTCTGTTTTTTCGCTTTTCCACTCATTCCTTGGAGCCAAATATTCTGGGAAGGGCTGAGCTGCAACCCTGCACAGGAACTCGAACCTTCAGCTCAGCTCACTGGGCGGGATGCGTGCCACACGCCAGGCAAGGGTTAATGTTACCAAGCCTAGCAGGTTGTCTGAAAGCACCTAAATGATCCAGCTGAAGCATGTTTTATGGACGGGTCTGGTGCGTTTTTATGATGCGCCCGCATGCCAAAGAAATGCATGTCATTGTGCAGCATAAAGTATGGGCAATAAACAGAATTAGTAGTGGAGCAGGATTTTAGGCTTCATAATTTGCCTTTGCCTTTCTTTCTTTCTTTCTTTCTTTCTTTCTTTCTTTCTTTCTTTCTTTCTTTCTTTCTTTCTTTCTTTCTTT